AGTAAAATTACTTTTCTGTTAAGTCAAAACTATCAATTTCTTAAAAATAGGTTTACCTCTTTAACGCGGAAGGCACCCTTTATATGTGACAATAAAGGAATTTAATTTAAAGAGTAAACTCGGTTCTTAGTAGTCAAAAGCTACAAGTTCCCGTTAAATTGATTCTTTGCTATCAATAGAAAATACTGCCCCATAAGTAGGTTCATCTACGCATGACCGGACCAATATCTGATTGCATGATTTACATTCCAACCTGTCTTTTAAACTGTTATTTACCTCGCTCATTTACTTTGTGCACTGCACTCACATTAACATTCTTGTTTGCCTTAGATAAGCACCTTAGCAATAGAGTTGATAGATTGACAATTGGTCTCTGTGGTTCGATAATCTTATATATTACTTCGATAGGCTGTACACTTGCAGTACTACATTTAGGCTATACGTTACAGATTAAACCCATCATTCACACCCTTATTAAGAGTATTCATACATTTTAATAGAGAAACCAAATTTCCCCCGTATATCCATTTTTTAGCATCCAAGGACCAAAATTATCATGCAAGCCAATCTGCTTAAAATCTAAAAGGTCGGTTGGGAGGATTAGTAGGATTCTCTTGGAACATAACAATAATAGGATGATGGTCGGATTTGATACCATGTATAACTCTAGAAAATCTTTCCAGAAAATTGAGTCTCCGATCAATATTATACATATTTTGATCGAGCTTTTTGAAGTACATAATATCTTCCCCCCCACCAGGGTCATGGCATTGTGAACATGGAATCCACAATGTTTACATCTATCATGTGACAAAAAAATTAATCATAATAGATCAAATTTAGTCACGAAAAGCGTATCCATACGATCATTCTCTCCACCTTGTTATTTAGTGAAGCAAATCCAATGTTCAATGGAAATTCGTTAAATAGTAATTTTATGTCATTCAAGCCTCAATTAAGACAATTCTTTCTTTATACACGGCTTGCTCAAACTTAACCATGTATAATCAGTTATCATCGCCTATGATCTCTAATTCTCATTTCAAATTCTAAACAACAGGGAATCGATCCTTTATAGTATTATATCACCCATTTTTCTCAAAAATTTAACTTCGACCCAAAGAGTGCACGCGTCTTTAAAAACAACTACATACAATCTCCAAATAAACTTTAAGCAAAAGTATGTTTTTTTAGTCAAGAACCATTTTCTTCTTCAACCGAGAAAAGGAATTTGACTTCTATAAATCACGATGCGGTATAACTACTATTTGCACCCTAATATGTTTTATATCATTAACAAAGGCACTGACCTTTCAGAGGAATTAACTTCTCACCCCCTCGATTTTATACATGTCACATCCCTAAATGGTATGAAAAGATAAAATTACCCAAACCCAAAAAATCTCAAAAATCCCAAATTTGTGGTACCATACCAAAAATTTGAAATTCCTAGGGCGTTATTGGAAATTTTCTGAACAAGTAAGAAATTTGCGATAGATTTATAAAATTTCCGGTACATTATACCAGAATTTTAAAAAATTTAGAGCGAAAGCTCAAGCCCGGAATAACAAGGCACAAGTTTCCGAGTTATGGGCTGGACAACATCTCCCGACCAGTTCTCACCAGAAATAGATGGTTGAGCAATATATGCAATTCCGTGCACCCCGCCGTCGAGAACTTAGAGTTTCTACCACCGAGGAGGTACATACTCCTGCTCCTGTGCTTGTAATTGAGTCGATTGTTAAGCAACATATTGAGGAGGTTTTTGCCTATTGTGGAGGGCGCAACTGAGCCGATAGTCGAGCAGGTTGTGGAGCCGGCAACTGAAGAAATTGTATAGCAGGATGATGAGTTTGTTGCTAAGCGTTTCGACGAGGTGTCCTACACTGATACAGATACTGCAACTTGTGCGTCTATAGATCCATCAGTTTACACTGATGGAGCCTTTCTAGGAGGACCTTCAGATAAGTCAGTGTTGACAAGATTTGCTGACTATGTCGCTTACATGATATGGCATGATGATGCATATATTTTGTTTTCTTTAATTGCATACTTTTTCAAGTGTTTGAAAGTTAATGTATTTTATTTTTGATTCTTACAAAAGCGTCCGGTGCTGAAGGTCGTTTCTCATGGTTCGAAGTTGAAATTTTTTCTAGAGAGTCCCAAGCCTGAGGAGGTTAGTAGTATTGTTAGAGATTTTCATTTTTTGGAGTTCGTGCAGTGCTTCTTGACCATGCTGGACGCCTATCTGTTGTCTGTTTTTGTTGAGTGGTGACACCCAAAGTCATAATCATTTCATCTTCCACTTGAGGAGATGACGATCACATTAGATAATGTTGATGCCCTATTTCACATCTTGGTCTCTAGTACATTCTTTATACCTTCTCATATTAATCATGTAACGACGATGCACATGGTTATGGATGATTAAGAGGTATCTAAGACGAGGGTGCTAGAGGAGTTTGGGTTTAACCGGGGATTTCACCTTCAGATGTCTTGGTTTAGGAGATTGTACGTGGAGCTCGTGGAGTCCCATAGGTACCAAGCTGCCGCTAGGGCATACATGTTACATTTGATGGCATGTACTCTCTTTGCGGACAAATATGGATTTTACATAGATGTTCACTACCTGTCTCTATTCAGCACACTTGACACTCTATGTTAGACTTAGGGAGTGATCTCTTTGACCATGCTGTACACGACACTTGACGTTGATTCTCAGCCCGAGATCAGACAACTTGCTGGTTACCTTAGCCTTTTACAGGTATTCTATAATTTATTTGATGGTTTTTATTAGTTATTTGGTGTATTTATATGATGGTTTTTATTTATGCAGTGTTGGATATACGCACACTTCCTCAAATATGCGAGCGGAAGATCTAGCGTGTCCCGCATACTCTTCCATGTGCAAGGAGGTGGAAGGGCAAGAAAGCCCATCCAGGAGGTGTGATGGAGTACAAGAGGAGGCTCGATGCAATGACCGTAGAGGATGTCGTCTATACACCATATATATCTCATCGGCCTCATCGTGCATATAAGGAGTCTACTTTGTATTAAGGGCATATTAGATGGGAAAACTATGTGAATAAACACTTGCTTGAGACTCTAGTATGGTTATGTATATGGAATCCCTCATCCAGTTCCAGAGACTCTAGCTGGTGGCATCGATATATGGTTTCAGAGTCACATCATCAGCTCTCCACATGAGATCATGGATACATCAGTTGTAGTTCATCATCCATCATAGTGCGAGGATGGATACCTGGAGTGGTTTTACAGTATGTCACACCCTCGAGTCTTACCACCAACTGTAACATCTGACGCTCTGGGGCCTTCAGGTGCCAGGATTTCTATCGAGCCTCCACCATCACCTCCACCTCCTGCAGGTGATCAAGACAACCATCAACATTTTATTGTAGTTCATTTAGATAACCTCATGAGTTTGGTAAACCCTGATGGTTAGATCTATACCGGTTTAGCTAGGTTAGCCAAAATAGCTCATGGAGAGCCTATGTAGATCTATTTTATTTTGGTTGTATTATATATATATATATATATATATATATATATATATATATATATATATATATATATATATATATATATATATATATATATATATATATATATATATATATATATATATATATATATATATATATATATATTGTGACACACATACTTTTTATTTATAGCATTATATTTTGGTGATTATATGTTTCGAATCGATGATGAACATAAAATAAAACAGTACAACAAACATAAACAAAAAATAACTAAACATAAAAACCTAGGCACTATCAGATGTTTCTGAATGTTTCAACATCTTGATTATGTCGTCAACGGATCTTCGGATCTCCGCATCTAACTCGATCAGACCTTTAGTTATCATACGGGGAAATGATTTCCACATGGCCGTCACATCTTCATCATTCTTCAACTCAACTGGGTTGTATTTTACTATTCCATTTGTATCAATACAATCCTCCCAAAACTCAATCTTTGTCACCCTCCTGTTATAGGAATCAAACATCAGTTCATTAAACTTATCTTTCAAGTTGTCGAAGGATGTGGTGCTATATGGAAGCTTGATTTCAACAACATGATTGTTTCCGTTGAAATATACTTCCGTCTTAATCAGAAATTGTGGAAGAGACATTGTTTGAGATGCTTTTCTTTGTAACATTTGCCCCTATTTATACAAATGTTGATGTATTATAGACCAAACAAATTTGTCAGTGCATTCCGAACCATCCAAAGATGTCAGCAAAATCTCTACCGTTAAAAAAACTTGAATAATTAAACTACCAGAAATTTCAGTATATCTAAAATTTCCGGTACTGTCTTGTAAATTTGAAAATTTCGAAATACCGAAAATTTCGAATTCACTATCGAAAATATAGATACATCGAAAACTTTGTAGGGTTGTAATGAAAATGTCTTGTAAATTTGAAAATTTTGAAATACCGAAAATTTCGAATTCACTATCGAAAATATAGATACATGGAAAACTTTGCAGGGTTGTAATGAAAATTTCGTGTGTCAAAAAATTTCAATAACTCTACTAAAAATTTCGTCCAAAAATTTATTTATAACTCAGCCAAGATAATTCTAGAATAATTTTTTTTGGAGGATATAATTTAGGGGTGGGATGTTAATTCCTCAATTTTCACTTTGTTATTATTTTTGTAGTCAATGTAAAATGGGCTATCAACCCAATAGAATATAGTTGGATTGTTAAACTAGCCCATTTACTTATGAAAAAGAAAGAAATTCTCCCGCGCGTTAAATCTTAAATGCAAAAAAAAAGGAAAATGTAAAGGCGCTGTTATTGGCGCTTAAACCAAAAACCCCAAATCAGTTTTTCCCTCCTTTCATTTCATTTCACATCATATATATTCTCAAACATTTCCCCATTCTTTTCAAATCGCACAACATTCAGAACGAAACAAGGAATCGTAAAATTAGGGTTTAATCATTCACAAAAAAACCATACGAAAATGACGAAGGGTACGAAAAGAGTCGACGCCGGCGATTCCGCTTCCGTTCTCGTTCGTGCCAAAGACGGCAGTGCCTTCGCCAAATGGTTTGTTCTTCCCTTTCACTTCTCTGCTGAATATTCAATTTTTCAGTTACTGATTTATATGAATTTTGTTGTAATTTTCAGTGATGAGTGTAAGAAGAATGTCCCTGTTGCGCTTATCAGCATGCATGATTGTAGCCTTGAAGCCAAAATCAAAATGAATCTTGGTAATTGTTGTTATTCAGAACTCTATTAGTGGTTTGGTTTGATATTAGGTCTAATTTGAAGTTATAATCAGTGATTAATTTGTTCTAAGATGTTTTGATTTTGTTTATTTTTTTAGATTCTCATGTTGTTGAGCAAGCTGCCGCTGAAGCAAAGAAACCTGAGAGGTTGATTTTTTTGACTTGATTTGACTGATGATTTGAAATTGGTTTTTGATTAGGGTCTATTTTATTTTGATTTTATTTTGAAATTTTGTAGGAAGAAGCCTAATACTAAAGAACCAGCTGCAAAAAAGGCTAAGGGTGGGAAAGATAAGAAAGAGAAGAAGGTTAAAGATCCCAACATGCCCAAACGACCTGCTACTGCTTTCTTTGTGTTTATGTAAGGGTTTGGTGTACTTATGCTGTCTGGTGTTTTGACTTTGGTTCTGTTTAGGGTTTTTATTGATTGTTTTTATTTGATGCAGGGATGACTTTAGAAAAACTTTCAAGGAAGCTAATCCTGATTCAAAGGATGTTAAAAGGGTAATGAAAACTTGTTTACTTGTTTGTGGACTTTGGTTAAGGGTTGGTTATTGATTATACTGATTTTTTTTCTGGACGTAATAGGTTGCTAAGGAAGGGGGTGAGAAGTGGAAGTCTTTGACTGATGAAGTAAGTTAGTTTAAGATGTTCTGTTTTTGTTCAAGTGTTCTACTAGTTTAGATTTTTGTTATTTGATGTTAATCTAGTGCTGCAATGCTTGATGTTATAGGAGAAGAAGCCTTATTTGGATAGAGTTGCTGAACTCAAGGCAGAATATGAGAAGGCTATGGAAGCTTATAATGCTGGTGAAAAAGAAGTATGTTTTCTAAGTTTTTCAGTTTGTTTTTTTAATATGCCCTTGTTTGGTTAGTTTCATTTCTTAAGCTGTTGATATTTGTTCAGGATCAAGAGGGATCTGATAAGTCTGACAAGGAAGCCCAGTCTGATAAAGAAGCCCCTGCTGCAGGAGAGGTGGAAGAGTTAACTGATGAAGAGTAGTAGTAGATTTGTTTTCATCATACCTGAATACTATGTTGAAATGGCCATTTGACCCAGTCTAAATTTGTATATTTTGGAATGCTTTTAGTTTACATTTAGATGTTGATTGGATTAGAAATTCCAGTGCAACATCTTATGTACTCTTATCTTGGAATATTACCAATGCTATGCTAGTTACTTTATTTCTTCAATTGTTATCTTGCCATTTATTTTCTTCATTATGCATATTGATTCCGATTTTTTTCCAAATGGTTATCCAAATAAAAACTGGCCTTTTACATTTAGGGAAACCAAATAAAGCAAGCTCCACACAAGTTCTAGTGGTTGGTTAGCTACATTATTTTATTGTGTCCACACAATATATAAAACTTGAATAAAAACATAGGCTGTAGTATCTTTTGCTTCAAATCTGAAGTATGATGTAAAAATGAATACATAATTTATTCAAAATAATATTGAATTGGAAATTGAACTCAACAATAAGCATTGTGATGCTCAACCTGGAAATGAAAGATTTAAATAAAGTTGGAGCCTAATCTATCTTGTGTAATAATGGTGAAATGAAAACATCTATTATGATAACTTAGTCAGCATCTTGCTGACCTATTGTCCCTTATGTCTATGCCTTGCAAGGCTGCAAGGGTTTGCCACATAAGCACAAATTATGGGCATAAGTAGCTGGTGGAAAGATGTTGAAAGGTCTGGTCTGTGGAATTTCTCCACACAGCCTGTTTGTTCTGAAACTTGCATGCTTGAGATTAGTGATCTGTGAGAAGCTACTTGGGATTTGTCCTGTTATTCCATTTATAGATACATCAAGCCATTGTAGGTTCTGCAACTGACCTATACTTGAAGGGATGTTGCCCAATATGTGATTTCTTGAAATGTCCAATTTCACAAGTTCTATCAAATTTGAAATAGAAACTGGGATTGAACCTGATAGATTGTTGCTTCCCAAGTTTAGTATCTTCAAACTTGACCCTTCTGCGAATTCTGGAATGTTACCAGAAATGAAATTGTTTGAGACATCAATTACCTCCAAAGAGCTGCTTGTCATGTTATTTATGAATGTTGACAGCGAACCGATCAAAAGATTTGAATGCAAATCTATTGAAGACAACCCAGATGGCAATTTTATCTTAGAAATGTCAAACCTCAACTGGTTGTTTGAGAGCTTGACATCTTGCAAACTAGACATATTTGTGAAGAAGTTTGAGATACCATCAACCAGAAAGTTATCTGACAGGTCTATAGAGCTCAAAGAGTCGGGTCTGACAAAACTCGGAAGGTCGCTCTTCAATTTACACCCGGCTAGTCGCACGTGTATAAGTTGTTTGCTTCTGATCCAATCAGGAACACTTCCAAGGCTGAGATTATTATAAGACAGGTCTATGGACAAAAGGGAAGGAATACCCTTGATAGGAATTGCTGGTAAGGGATCCGAGAATCCATTTCTCGACACATTAAGGTACCAAAGTTTCTGCAATTTCGATATGGATAGTGGAAAATGTCCTGTTAGCTGATTGCCACTAAGTTGAAGACTTGTCAGTGATTTCAGGTTTCCTATTTGATCTGGAATGTTTCCTGTGAGCTTGTTATAGCTCATAGACAAGTCTACAAGATTCACAAGGCTGAACAAAGAAACCGGAATTTTTCCTGTTAGTAGGTTATAAGACAAGTCTAGATTAGTCAAGTTTCGAAACTCACCAACAAAATCAGGGATAGGCCCTGATAACAAATTGTAACTGAGGTCAAGATAATTCAAATTTCTAAGGCTTTTGAAACCGAGCGGAATAGAACCCGACAGAAAATTTCTCGCTACATTAACTTGAACAAGGTTTTTCAGATTCCCTATTGTTGGAGGGATCTGTCCTTTCAATTGGTTACCACTCAATGAAAGGGTTTCGAGCAAAGACAAAGAACCCAAGCTTGGAGGAATGCACCCTCCAAGTGAATTATCTTCAAGAACAAGATGTTTAAGGTTAGTTAAATTCGTGAAGCTAGAGGGAATTGGTCCTGTAATATGCTTCATTCCACTTATCATCATTACCTCTAAGAACTGCAAATTACCTAGTGCTGGTGAAAGAGTTCCCTTCATAAAACTGCCACTATCTCTAACATCAGGACTTTGTATCTGCAACATATTAACTCTACCTGTGGATGCATCACATTGAACTCCTTCCCACCCTCCGTCGCAGCAGTCGCGGCTTATCCACGAAGATAAGGTATCTGTTGTGTCCTTCAAAATGCTTGCCTTAAAGGTGAGAAGAGAAGCTCTATCTTGTTCTGAACAAATTGGAGGCTTTGGTGAATAAGCACTTTCTGAGAAGAAGTTACCGAGTAATGAACATATCAGAACAAGGTTTAAAACCCATGTGAAAAATTGCATTTTGAGAAGTGGGTCTTGATCAAAATAAGTTTTTTTTCTTCTTCTCTGAAGTTGAGATCTGACAAGAGAAACTTTGAGTTAGTAAAAGAAGAAAAAATAGAATATAATTAATTTAGTAAGAAAAAGTATAGGAAAAGTACCAATCCGACATTGATTTATTCTAAGGTAAGATATGATGATGATGAAGTATGTGTTGTCTGAAAATTATGGTTCTGTTGGAAATTTTCTGCATGCAAGATAGTGATTTGTGCAGTCTCTTATTTATAGTTAGAAAGGAAAGAAACAAAAACACAAAGGTTGTAAGAAATTGGATTAGTTTAAAGAAGTTCACATGGTAAAATTGTGACCGTTTGATGAATCACGAGGATCCTTGGTTATTCGAACGTTGGAGCGCACTAGATTCAAAATATGTCAATGTTTTTATAAAATTTAGGTTCTGTCTGTTATTTATACTGTCCACATGTTCCTTGTTTAGGAGTAAGAAAATGAATAGTATTAATATATAACTTCTTAATATAAAAGATAATGAATTTAATTGCATGTTTGGTTTTTTTTTTTTTTAAGGATTAAAAACAATTTTAAAGATGTAGAATTGATTCCGAGTGATTCTAAGATGTTTTGTTAGACAAAAATACAATTGGTTTTATTTCTGAAATTAATTCTATTTGAAGCTAGAATTTGTAACTTCTGTCTCAAAAATTGACTCTAATAAGTTTTACATTGAAATTCATTGTTCAACTCACTTTTACATAAATATATCAAAACATAAATCAATTCTGCTAAATTCAATTCTAATAGAATCAATCTACAAAACTCAATTCTACTGGATCAATCATATTCACTACCAATTCAAACACATCCTAAGAATAAATGAAATAATTCAAATTAGATGTTTTAATTGATTGTAAACAGTTGATTTAGAGTTTGATTTTTAGCATCATTTTAATTAATAAAATATGTTAATTTCATATTACTATTATAAATGTCTCGTAATAAACGATAACGTCATTTTAATTAATAAAATATGTTAATATTTTTACTACCTAGTTAATTTCATATTACTATATACTATGATATTTGAATTTATGTTTTTTTAATTTATTTTAATAATTTTATTTGAAGAAATTATCAATTTTTGTAAGATAAAAGTCAAAAATAGAAGTAATTGAAAAATATCTTCAAAGGCAAGAAGAGAAAAATAAGTAAAAGGTAAAAACCAAGTCAAGTGGAATGCCCCATGCTAAACCCATGTTTGGTAGGTTTCCACTTTTACTTTGTATGGATATTAATAGTTTTATAAGTTATTGTAAATACTACATTTAACTTTAAGTATGGAAAAATATATTGTTAAAACAAAACTTAATTGGAAAATATAAGTGCTTGATAAATTTAATGTTTTGGAACATTTTTATATGACATTTTTACATTGAGATGAATTCATTAGATTACATCAAGAAATTATTTATATTATTTTGTCAAGTCATTTTCAACAGTAAATAAAATAGCATAAAAACAATAATCACTGTTTGTTTTTATTAAAGCATGATGAATATCAACTTTGCCTTCTCAGTAAGTATGCTTAACTTGCTAATTACTTCCTTTACAGCAGTACAATTTTTGTTTGCTTATCATTTAACAATAATTAAAAATGGGTCCCCTTTATTCTTACTTGGTTCTGGAACAATGCTTCTACATTGCCCATTTAATATGGGATTTGTCATGTATTGATTACTCTTATTTTATTTTGACCAAAAGCTCTATCCTTAATCTTGATTAACATTTTTCTCCAAAATTTTTAAAATATGTAAAGAATTACATGTTTTATACATTGCAAATAAAAATCATACAAAAATAATTTGAAAGTGCAGATAATTCAAACAAAATCATTAGAACTTAGACTGATTACATGTTTTTTTGGCATAACATTATTCGCATTAAATAGTAGTTTTCTTTGATTTGCTGTATCATTATTTTTATTTTTTATTTTGCATATAAGAAGACAAAAAAATTAAAGTATTACTATATTAAACTTGTTCCTCTTAAGTACTTATTGAGAAAAAGACTAAGATTAACATGGATATCATCCAATATTACAAAAGAGAAACAACATCACAATCTCTAAGATTAATGGCATTATTATAAAAATTTACTTCACGAGCATTGAAAAGTTGATAAGAGAACCTCATTACAAAAATGGTCTCAAAAAGAATTATCTAACTTACAATTAATAAGATGAACCATGATTCAATGTTAAAATTTGATGACAAAATTGTTATTCCAGTGCTCTAGTTCTACTCTAGTCCTTCTAATCATTATGGTTAAATATTCTTTTAAGGAAGATTTATCTTAGATTTTGCGGTGTTAAAACCTTTTTGTGGGTAATTATTTTATGGATAATTATTTTATAGGATTGATATCATTGACTTGATGTTAGAAATGTGATGTTAGTATCCTTTGCTCTGACGGTCCATAACTTTTATGCCAATATAATTTATAGAAAATCTCGTATCATATTAAATCAAAACTAGTTGATTTTTGATCCTGACTAAAACACTAATCCTTTAAGTTAAAATCGACGAAGTTGAGTCGTGATTTATTTTAGATCTCTTTAAAATTTAACTGCTAAGAAGTTAGGATCTCCATCTACGCCATCCTTTAAGTATTAGTGAATCTTATTTAAGGATCATGCATGCTATTTATGCGTTAACTTTAATCTTCTTGGTAGTAATTTAGTTACCAAGTTTAGCCTCTCTAAACATGACTATATATGACTATACTCCCTCCATTCTTATTTATAATTTTTTTTTGACTTTTTAGATTCATTGAATAATTGGTGTATCTAACCTATACATGGACCAAATACATCATTTATTCAATAAATCTAAAAATTTAAAATTTTCTTATAAATAATAATGGAGGGAGTATTATATTATTGTGGTTCTTCCATAAAGCCTAAACAAAACTCTCAAAAAATTAGTCAATATTCTTTTTCGTGATATCTCAATAAAGTTAAAGACACAAATCAAAGCTAAAAAGTTTAACTCTAGTATCTTATGTGATGAATTGATTCCAATATATTTGGCCAACTTCAAAATATCTTAGCATATAATGATTCTTAACGGGACCGCAATTAGGGATACAATAACCCCTTCAAAAGCAATAGTTTCATGTCCTTCATTTATTACCCATCTTATATGAGACTAAACCATCTTCCACAAGTTTAAACTAATCCTACAAAGGTTAGAAGAATTGTTTTGAACGATGGTAAAATAATGAGAAGAAAGCCACAAGTATATTATTCATCACTAGCACCTATATCTTGTAGGAATATTGCCATCGATTTCCAAACAAATTTATAAATATAAGCTTTATTACTTGCACCTATATCTTCTAGGGACATGCCATCGATTTCCAAACAAATTTATAAATATAAGCTTTATTATGATGAATTTAATTCAAGCTTTGAGGAGTTGGTTAGTTAGTTTTCTATTTTTGGAAACAATGTAAAAAGAAGTTACTTGGTGTGCAAGTAAATGTTGATTTAGGTTATATATGTATCTTATCAACTCATTAATGAAATACCCAGCTCAAAAATTGCTTTGCTATATTTTTCACATATTCTTATCTCTCTCAATCTCTTTTTAACAGATTGGTATATAGATCAAGATCGATCCTATGTATTCAAGAACTTGCAAGTAAATTCAATCATGATGGGTTATGGGAACTTTGCAACACACCTATCAAATATTGATAGAAAAAATTGGGATAAATGGGTGACTCAAATGAAGGTCATTTTACGTGAAGAAGATGTTTGTGATATGGTGGAAATTGGTTTAGAAACTTTGCTTGAAGATGCAAGTGTAGCAAAAAGGAAAGCATATAATGAAGACGAGAAAAGAGACTATAATTCTCTTTTTCTCATTCATCAAAGTGTGGATTTAAAAGTGTTTGGAAAAATCTCTGGTGAAACTAGTTCGAAAGCTGCATGGGACAAGTTGAAAAGGTATTTTAGTGGTAATGAAAAAGTCAAGAAGATGAAGTTGTAGTCATTAAGGTATGGTATGTGATAAGTACAAATTATAGTTATTTTTGTATATACTTTTTGTTGCACTTATTGACTTTTTATTGTTAATATCGTTGAATAACCCCGACTTTTATGTAAATACGTTTAGTTTGTGTTTATTTGTGTTTTTGTGTATATAGTCTACCGTTTGATGTTTTTCCATTCATTTCGTAGGTATTTGTTGCATTTTGGAGCATTGAGGAATAAGGTGTCGAAGGCACGACTCAGATGTGCGTTTTCGGAATAAAAGATCACTTTTGTGATATTATCTCCAAGAGAGTCCACTTAACGCACAAAGGTCGCTAAGCGCGAGTGGTGCTCAACACATTTTGTAGTGCGCTGCTTGTGCTTTACTGTTTTGGTAGAACCAAAGTTTTGAAGCCCGCTTAGCGCAGATAGCGCTCTTAGCGCGATTTTAGGCGGTGTGTTAAATAATGAAGTCGCGCTTAGCGCGTCAGGCCCGCTTAGCGCGACCTGCTGAGTTTTGTTTTATAAAAACATATTTAATTCATTTTTAGGTTATGGTTTTGTGGAATTTTTCTCTCAACTCCATCAACCTGTAAATTTTGTTAGGATTAGCTTAGATAACAACTATGTAGCTTGAATACAGATGATCCAAGGTGAATTACTGTTTAACCGGCACTGACAAACCGGTATATCTGTGGTTCATTTCTCTTCCTCTTTGTATATTCTCTATTGGTTGGGTTTGTATATATATTTTCTTTGAACTCATGTATATTTGTCGCCATTGGCGTTATATAAAACTTGCTTTACGATTCTTTGTCGATTGTTGTCCTGGATTTTTACAATGTGTTAGAGATTTGAGTTGTTATAAACATATACTGCTTAGATTCTTATCTAGGATGATTATCTGTTAGTTTTTGAACTCTAGAGATAGATTTAGAGCTGACATCTACTTGGGTATCAAAGCTTAATG